TTCTCCCCCGCTGTTCTCTGCTTGCGGTAACAAAATCTCCGTTCCCATGGTAGGGTCGATTGAAGTGGGGGACTCACTGACCCCGTCTTCCCGAAAAGTCGCTTTTCTCGAAACCCGATCCGCCACTTCCTGTGTTTTTTTATTTTTCTTTCGGGCCATAGCCTGCTTTTCTACGGCGCTTATGGAATTTGGAACTAGTAATTGCAATCTTCCTGTGTGGTTTGATTTCCCAGAATATACATACCTCTGTCTAAATCCTCTCCAACGATTGCGGCTTGAGTTTGGATGAGCCCAGTTTCATTCATCTCAAGCTCTACACATGCTAATGGTAGACATTTTGCTTCCATATCCAAAGAACTTCTCACCCATACTGTTTCTCCCGTAAACATTTCTGAAGTGATATAGTTACGACTCGCCAAATCGAGGCTTGCTCTGGTGTCCCGCAGCACTTTAATAGGATTACCATTTACTTGTGCGTCCGTGATAAACGGAGACAACAATTCCTCTGCGCTTTTATATTGGTATACGTTGTTTAACATGGCTGGTGATTTATCCTTTATGAGTTTTGGGCAATGGGGGCCTAAAGTGATTTTCTGAGTCGCATTCGAAACACTTAGAAGACTTTCTTTTTTCAAATGCTATGTTTCAGCTGGTCTTCGTTTGTTCTGCCCTAGATGAAACATTTTTTTTTTCTCGTCATCCCCCTGTTTATCTTTAGGATCAGTTAAATTCCTATCATTCTTCCATCGCTCTTGATACCCCGGATGAGCTGATTTCTTCCGAATTCCTCTGACAGCTTCGTAGTCATCTAACATATATGCCAACTTAGCTGCCGAAGTAACTTTTACCCAGTTGTCCGAGAGATGATCCGAATCAAATTTTTGAATAGTTTTTTGTATCTCACGATGAAACTGCTTATTACTCGATTTTGAATTTTCCGATACCACAGGCGACGATCTACCCATTGCCTCGATCCTTAGCCTTTCTAATTCAAAATTGTCTTATCTCCCTAGCTCTGCAATCCTCTCTCTTGTTCTTTAAGCCTCTCTTCTCTCTCTTTTTCTCGAAGTCTCTCCTCCTCCAACCTATCATTTACTATTCCCTCGAAAGCACCCTTAACAAAACTCTTTGTCATACGTTACACCTTTTTGAATCAGAGATTTTAGCTCCTCAATTTTTAGACTCATTGTAGCCTCCTCTCCTAAATCTATCGCTAGGTTATATAAGTCGATCTTTTTTCCCTTTTCCAAGAAAGCCATTTTAACCAAAGTCTTTGAGCTTTGTGCCACACTCAATTTCTGTACTTAGAATTATCACACACTAATCAAAAATACAATGCTACTGAAATTATCATTATTAATAGTAAGCATTAATGCACAGTGATTTTACAAACATCGTAAATGATCTGAATATTAATATAACAAGAATTCAGTATACTCAGTACTACAATTTTCAAAACGCTTGAAATTCATTAATATTATTAAAATCTAATACACACTATGGCAACATTTACAGAATTAATGAATTGAGTTTTAGTAAGTTTTTACCTGAGTACATACTAATAAAAACAGTAAGTAATTCAATCACAACTTCAATAACAATTAGTACACAATAAACCCAACATTAATAACAATCCAATAAAATAAATTTCAACTGTACTTAATTTAGTAAATCTCAGTTTTCACAACTACAGTAGTGCTGATGTGTTTTCTGATACATTAAAAAAATATATATATATATATATATATAAAATTGTCAATAATTCTTATACTGTTAAATAGCAATAAAACCAATATACATTAATTCCAAACATAGTTAATTTTTGTTGGATCTTACATTCAAAAATGTTAAAACAGGACAAATGAATAACAACAGTAAAAAGACTTTCAGTATTTTCTATGCTACTGAATTTCTACCTTATTATTTCAAAAATTATGCAAATTGTTATGAGAAATCTGTACTTATCAAGTTGATTCAAAGGGAATGGTCAGTAGAAGGGGAGAAATACGAATGATCAATGAAGTTCTATGAAGACATAGCACTATTAAGGGTGTGAACTCGGCTCATGTGTGGAGACTGCACTGATGATTTTAAGTGTCGTATAGTGTTACCTGATCATCCAATTGTTCAACTTTCATTGAGTATACACATAGGTCATTAAGTTATGATGGAGTGCAGACAATCTTATTGTAGCTGAGAGAAAGGTTTTGGATACCTATTGGGTGAAGGATTATATGGGGGGTTATATCTGGCTGCATTTCATGTAGGAAGTTACACATGGTACCATAGTTACACAGAGAGCTCTCCTTCCACCTGGAAGATTTCAGTTTTTCGAGCTGCCCTTTTCAAGTAGCATGTGTGGGTTTAACCAGTCCCAGTTTTCTTAGGGAAGGGGTGACGGCCTGGATTGTCCTATTCACCTGTGCTGTGTTGTACCGTGTGATACATTTAAAGTTAATAACTGCATTGACCATAGAAGCTTTTATTCAATCTTTGTAAGATTCATTGCTAGAAGTGGCAAGAGTTTTAGTCATCTACACTGATAATGGAACAAACTTCGTTGGCACATCAAAGGCTGTTCAAACAATAGACTGGAATGTCATTCAAGAAGACAGTGCACTAAAGAAGATAAAATGGAGTTTTAACCCACCAAGTGCACCATGGTACAGTCAATGGCGGAAGTGTGTGATACACAGTATGAAAGATATACTGATAAGAATTCTTGGCAGAGCTAGTGTAAATTATGAAGAAATGTCAAAGGTTTTATGTGATTGTGAGACTACAATTAATAACAGACCTTTAACTTATCTGTCAGATAATCCAGATAAACTATTACTGTGAATAAAGGCATATTTCCTACATGAAACTCCAAATTCTACGAATTGTGATACTCTTCATTTTGACACAATCGATGGAGGTCATTTGAAGAAAAGGATACGATATTTGCAAAGTGTTTGCAAAGATTGTTTTTGAAAGCAATTCCAAAAAGAATGTCTGTACTTGTAAGGAATCCGACGCTTAAGGCAAGAGGTAATATTCAAGTTGGAGATGATGTGTTTGTGGGATATGATAGCACCAAAAGAATTATTTGGCATTTAGCCAAAGTTATTGAACAATTTACAGGACGAAATGAGAAACGGCGAGCAAATATAGAAACTATTATGCATTGACTGAAACCGGCAAATGTAGAAATTATACGTCCCCTTCAGCGGTTTATATCCTTTAGAGATTACGTTGTCAGATTCAACACTTCAAAAAAAAAAAAAAAAAAAGTTGGAAGCTCAAGGCCCAGATAATGTCCTAAAAAGAAAGGATGAAATTCGTTACCCAGTTCTGATTATTCAAAATCTCATCTTTCAGACTTGGCATTACACAGTGATAGAATTGTTTCAGGTTCTGAATCAATATATACTAAAAGTAGGCGACAGGTAAAGTAACCCAAAAGGCTGAATTTGTACTCTACCTTTATGAACATTGACTAAAATGTCTATGTTAGATTACAGTTTTTAAGGAGTACATCTGTTTTGTCTCGATATTAATTGTTATTAGTTTTAGAATTGAGTTTTTATTTTGTATGTATCCATGACAACGAGACATACTATAATCTAGAGAAAATGTTTTGTGAGTAACTTTTCTAAGGCTTCTAAGTTAGTAAAAGTGTCTTAGTACAAAATAAAATATTTAGTTTACAAGAATCTTCTGTGTTCCATTTCTTGGAGTCGCGACAGGAAGCGTCTTAACATGATGGAGGAAATCTTGAACAGCTCGAGCTGTATGCGGACGAGTATTATTGTGCTGGAAAATCACCCCTGGAAGACCAATTAGGGAGGGTCCTGTATGGGGTTGAAGAATGTCTTCAACATAACACTGGCTGGTTCAATTAGTGTGGGCTGGCTGTCATAGGCTATGGTCCCCTGGACCATTACACCTATTGTGCAAGTAGTCTGTTGCATCACAGCACACATGGAATAGTACCATTTATAACATGATGTTTTGCCATTTTGTGGCATTCCACATGGCTACGGGCTTGGGACAACTGTAGATGGAGTCACCACTGTTTTGGTGTTAAAAGCAGTACACAAAAAGGGTGCCTGTATTGCAGATTTGCTTCTGCTAGGTATCTAAAAGTACTTTATAGAATAACTGGCACTCCTACATCTATTTGTATTGTTAAATGAGTCACTGTGGGATTCATGAGCACTTCCCATGTGATTTCTTTATCCTCTTGCCTCGTTGCCTTTTTGGTCGCTCCAGACCCAGTTCTCGGCACTTGGGTACCATCTTGTGTCCACTGCAGTAGAATGTATTCTGACGTCACACTCTGAACAATTGAACTTGCAAGCAACATGGCATATTGACCGTCTTGCGGTTTTCATGCCGATGATCAGACCTCTCTTAAATTTGACCGAGAAATGCTTTCTCCAGACGTCTACATGGCATCCTTCGCTTAAGTCTTTTTAGAATGTGATCATTATATTTATATGAGTCTTCATCTATGCGGCATTTTGTATAGGGCCCACTTCCTGATTACAGTGCTACTGCAGGGTGTATGGTCATGTGCACTGGTACAAACTTGGATCATATGCATTTTGAATCTCATTGTACTTATTTGCAAAGTTTTGCGATTGTACCTTTCTGCTTCGTGCACTATTTTCAGTGTTCCTGAGTGTATAAGGTAATGACTAATATAATTTAGTAAAATTTGGGCAGGAATTTATGACTTTTGTATTTATATTTACGGACGGTTAAGGTTGCTAAATTTTCAGTCTTGAATATGCAGGGAAAACTTGCAGTGTACCCTGTGGTGGAAAAAAAGGGTACTGATTTCTTCCTTCCCCTTTTTTTGATGGTTTACTATGCACTTTCTTTATATTAAATATATTAGAAGAATGTTTTAAATATTCTTACTATCTGATTTTTTTATTTATGAAGGAAAAATTTTGATTAAATTTTTGTTACTGATATTATTTTTAATTATTCTATTTTGTTCTGTTTTGTAGAAGGAAGGAAGTCGATGAAATTGTCATGTCTTTTGTAGAAAATGAAGAAAGTAGTGATGAAAATAATAGTGAGAAAAGTATAAATGAAACACCTGACAGTTCAGATTCTGAAGAATCATCACATTCTGGAAGCTCATCAGTTGCAGATTCAGAAAGTTCCTCAGATGGAGCTGCTAGTCTAAAAGACGATGTGAGTAACATTTAAAAAATTGGAATTTGAATTAATTTTTTATATTATTTCACATATATTTTTAAATCCATAACTTCAAAGTCAGCTGTCAGCTGCAAAGTTAAATCATAATGACCAAACTCCTCAAAAAGCAGAATTTTAGAGAATGTTTTGTTTGTTGCAATTGAAATTCTTGCTGAATTGTTTTACAGCAGGGTTTCTTAAAATGTTTGATATTGGGATCCCCTAATATTTATGAAAATTTTGTTTGACCTCGTAAGTATTGCGCAAATCCGACACACGCATGGGTGAAACTATCAGTTTCTTCTCTTGTGCTGTAATATACTATTGCAGTTTTAGGTTATTGATTATAATTTTTAAAGTAAAATGAAATTTTCTATTATAAAAAAAAAGTGCATCGAAATGTTTTGTTTTTCTTTGTATTGTCTTAATCTATTTTCAGATAAATTATGTAAAAATATTTTGTAACTGTGAAATTATTATAGTAAGTTAGAGAAATATCAAAATTGCTAAATTTTTGGTGACCTACAGTTAAAGAAACTGTTTCACAGAACTACCAATTTTGATTTGTTGAATTGCTTGTAAAATTCTGTAGTTTCACCCAGCTAACTTTATAAATTACATGGCAGAAATAAGAACCCTAACATGTTTCCTGTCATGCTCGTATGTAGCCGTTTTTTTTTTCAGCATTTTTAGCACTTACCTCATCTTATCGGATAGATTTATTTAAATTAGTTGACCAGGTGTTTGTACTTTTGGTGATATATAGCTGAATTTTGAGATCAGTTTTAAATTTGTCTTTTGTATGGGTTTTTAATTTTGACTGAATGTTTGCTGCAAAATCTTATAAATAACTAACGCTTGTACATAGATCAGCTTATACTCATGGCATTTGGTCTATTAAATTGTTTCAGTAGTGGTTATAAATCAAAACGTCTCGTATAGAGTAACATAGGAAAGGTTTTAATGACTGGCACAAGCTTTGTGTCATATTTAAATTTGTAAAAGAGGTTCAAGGTATAGAAAATGGGTGAGTTAATGAACAGTTTTAAGGAGGAAAACAGAAAGTGAAGAAGTTGAAAACTTAGAAAAGCAAACCTAAAATAAATATAAATGATTTCTCAAAAGTGGAAAGGTTCCAGTATTTTCAAGATTATAAATAAAAGAATTGCAAAGTGTTTAAAATAATTTTGTGTAATACAGGAGTAAATGGAGGAATATAGAGATATAAAAAGAGAGAAAAATCTTGTTTTTAATTTTCTCTTTATTTGCAATTTATTAAAAATGCAATATCTGTCTCAGCAGTTTAGGCATTTGCTGTGTATTTCAAGGTTGGTCTTAGTCATCATTTTTATAAAATCCTATATAATATAGTGCTGTAATTCGGTAGTCTCGGAGTGTGTGCAGGCTGAATGCACAATCTAAAAACAGCTGAAAAGGCAGATTTTTTTTTGGGCTGGAAAAAATTTTCAGAAATCTTTTTTTTTAACAAAAGGGGGGAAAAATTAACAAAATAAAAAATATTAAACCCTTATGGTACGGGTTTATTTGAAAAAAATTCTGTTGACTTTTCACAAACAACATTCACTAAAATACTGGATGTAACTTACTCTTATAACTGATAACAATCACTTTTGCCATGAACAAGAATGTACAATGCTTGCCACCGTAAATGCAACATTCTGAAGGTTAGGTTTATTTAATTATGGCAAAGCACACTAGGGCTATCTGCCTAAGGGGAGGGATGTCTTCGTGGAGGACTTTCTAAGAGAAACTGGCTCGTATCCACGTTACACATGGAAAAAACCACGAAAACGCCAATGCAGCCAGCCCGTTAGCGGGATTCAAACCTCAGACCGAACTACCAGTGTTCAGCGACTTTACCGCTCGGCCGCTGGTGAGCCCAACACCCTGAGGGAAGAATGCAAATAACATGAAATTTACAACATGCATTAGCAGAGGTGAGATATGCAAATGATTAGAATTTCATTGCAGACGTACATCACACACGCCTGTGGTGCCACTTTAAAGCGCTATTTAAGGCTTGGAATTTTCGACGATTTCAAGTTCGGCAATTGTGTTTTTCTTGTGTTTTTTTCAAAAAAATTATCAATTATGGATCGTAGTAAACAGCGATCATCATTTGATCAAGTATCCGAATTCGACAGAGAAAGGATAGTGGCATACCGAGAGTGTGGATTATCTTTCAGGGAAATCGGTAGTTGTGTTGGATGAAACCAAATAACTGTAATGCGGATATGTGACCGTTGGATGCAGGATGGTACGACGGACCGACATGTTCGATCGCATCCACCTCAGTGCACCACTTCACGTGATGACAGGAACATTATGCGTATGGCAGTGACGGATTGCTCAGTGACATCACAAACCATAGCACAGCACAGCACATTCAGTCTGTAACGCATCTTCCAGTGTCTGTGCATACCATTCGATGCCGTTTACAGCAGAGTGGCCGGTTCGCAAGTGTCCATTGCTTCGTCTACTCGACGCAGAACCACAGACATCTCCGCCGCCAATGGTGCGATGAAAGAAGGATGTGGACAGTAGAATGGAATGAAATTGTCTTTACTGATGAGTCACGCTTCTGTCTGCAACACCACGATGGTCGGATTCGAGTCTGGAGACACCGTAGAGAGAGGATGCTGAACAGCTGCATTATGCACCGTCACACTGGTCCTGCACCGGGTATTATGATATGGGAAGTATTGGATATCACTCTCGCACTCCTCTAGTACACATTACCGGTACTTTAAACAGCCAGCTCCACATCTCCGAAGTATTGGAGCCAGTTGTCCTTCCTTACCTTCAGGGCTTGCCACAGCCATATTTCAACAGGATAATGCGCGACCACACGTGGCACGCATTGTCCAAGTGTTCTTCTCCAGATTGAATTGCTTCTCTGGCCGGCTCGCTCTCTGGATCTTTCGCCAATAGAAAACGTGGTCTATGGTTTCTGAACAATTGACCCAGATTACGTCCCAAGCTGCTGCACCAGATCAACTTTGGCAACATGTAGAAGCTGCTTGGTCTGCTGTACCCCATGAACACATCCAAAGTCTCTGAATCAATGCCGAGGTATGTGGCAGCAGTGATCTCCAACAATGGGCGGCTGCTCTGGCCACTGATTCTGGAAGGAACCACACTTCACAGAAGTCTATAAATTTAATCATTTGATACTAGGTCAACATGTTATCTACTAAATAAATTTTGTTGTGGTATCTCTTTCTTGGTGTTGCAATTTGGGTGGCCAGCAGCATTCATGTTTAATTTTGTCCTAGTTTAAATGACAATTAAGATTGATTATCCATAACTTAGGCAAAACAAGTGCATTATAAGTCTAAGTCGTCAAATGTACCCAAAGGTAAATTTAAAAAAAATTGCTCACTAAATAGTTATCAAAACATTCATAAACAATAATAATATCACAAAGGGAAAAAAAACAAATTTATATTGTATTTTTGATTCGAAATCTGAAGTTTGATACTAGCAAGACATTTTTGTTAGTTACATATTGTAAGTCGAATGTATCGACAGCTAGATATTAAATTCTAAGGTTGACATTTCTTTCAAATTAGTCTTAACACATTTAATTAATCATTAAATAACTTACTTTAAAATAAATAAATTATGAAAACTTCAGTTTTCAGAGAAAATTTACCAAGTGTGACAAAACACAATAACAAGTTTCCTTCTCTTATTTATTAATTTTTTTCTTTTTAATTTTTAACTGTGAAAAATATTCTGTTTCCATGTAAATGCCTTCCCAAACAAAGCGATTATTCAACTGCAGAAATTTACAAATGAGTATATTTTGTGAAGTATGATGAAAGTTAGTAAAATCTCTATGTCTTTGAATAAGTTTTTATTAGCTCCATTTATAGATTTTCTAGTGATTATTCATGTTTGTTTTTAACAGAAGTGAAAATAATACAAACTCAAACTTCAGATAGTTGAAATTTAATAAACTCTGCAACTCCTTATTTGCAACAAATACATAATTAAATTTTCTTTGTGGACCACAAGAAACTGCTTTGAGAGCCACATGCAGCCTGCAAGCTGCCAGTTTGAGATCATTGCTCTAATTCATTAAATTTCTTACATTTTTGCCTAGATGTTGGCTAAAGTTCTGTAAAATGCCAATTCATTTGTAATTATGTTCACAATTTACCAGAGACATCTTATTTTGTTTAAGATTTATTTCTTAATGCTAATCAGCTAATAATGGTATGCTAATCAGCCAGGTTTGGTGAGGTCTCCATTACTGCACCTGTGGTGATGTTGCAAGCATTAAGTGAAAGCATCATAAACCAGCCTGTAGTTGCTGCCTCTTGAATGTTAAAACAATAGCTGACACAAGCTACAGTTTAGAGTGAGAAGGATGTAAGGTATCTGTTAAAGGTATCAGTTTATGCAATTCATGACCCTTACACTGGACAAAAACTCAGTTAATATCCCAGTTTTCTCCTTAACTCATCCTCCCTAGTGCTTAATATCACAGCCCAGTATATCTTTAAGACATCCTGTCTAGGTCCCATTGACAGCATATGGGATGTTATCAGGATTCGAAGTACTAGTTACTATATCCTGGATTATCCCGTTAATCTCCTAAACATATACTCCTGACTGCTTAATGTATCTTCAGTGGTTTTGTTTATTCCAGGCTCCTGTTTTATTGTGCATATCTGGGATATTTGTGAAACAAAATTCCTCAAAATGGGAAGAAATAGAAGTAAATCTCAATCAAAATCTTAATAAAGTCCATGTGTTGACGACCTTGGTGAATTCATGAAAAGGAAAGGTGGCTCAGTATGCTATTAGAGGAATTTTTAGAGTTAAAATAATATATTTGTATGTTTAAGTACTTTTTGACCATCATTTTCTCATTTGTATATGAAAAGTGTAAAATTTTATATTTGTTTTAAATTAATTTTGAGGTTTTCGATTCAGCTTCAAGGTATCATATGATAAAAGTATATTTTATAAATTACATATTTAGTAATTCTTTCAAAAAAATACTGCTTGTTCTGCTTGAATACTTTTTTTGACTCCCTGTAAATCATTATACTTGAAATTGAATTAGAGGTTTAAATTTTTTTTTTATCATATAAATTTTTTCTTCCTAAAACTTTTCATGGCTATTCTTATTATATAATTCTAATGGGGGTACTTTTTAATGCAAGCTTAAAAGTTCACTCTTAAAACTTTTATTCAGATAGCAATTGTTTTATAATATTAAGCAGCTGAATACACTTGTTTTCCGTTAATTTTGTAACTATTTATCGTAGTATAACCAATTATTTTTTCAAATTTTCTTATTCATTGCATATAGGATACAAGTGTGCAAAGGAAAAGTCCAAAAAAAGTGCTAGCAAAAGGAAAATTGGTAAGTTTTATGTATTCATGTAAATAATATATATACAGCAACTGCAGTGATATTAGAAATGTATATAGTCAAATTATTCTGAGTATTTGGGTTACAGTAAGCTGCTGCATGTTTATTATCCTTACAGTAGGATAAAATTTGGCACTGGGTGAGACAAATTTAAAATTTAAAAATTAAATTTAAAAGACATTTTAAAATTCAACTTCCATGTGAGCTTCCAAATAACCATTTCTCAGAATGTTATTGTTTGATGTTCCACAAGATCTTTATCCTTCAAATATTAATAGTATTAATAGTAAGTGCTTAACAAACTGGATAATTTAAAAGTAATCAATGTGCCTCATAATAAATTATATTTTTAATAATGCTTCTAACTAATATCATTTAAAGTATATTACATTTCTAATGTATTCATTTGGTAATTTTTATGAACTTTTGCATTATTATATCATCTCAAACATCATTTATTACATGTCTTTCAGTATGGAATTTTTTTTTTTTTTTTTGTCTTGTCCTAAAGTTTTGTATTTATAATTCCACAAACTTTGTATTATATTTTTAGATGCTTTCTAAAAATGATGTACAGTTTTGAAATTTTGAATGAATGGTTTCATTCATATATATTTTGGAGCTTCTAGTTAAAATTTAGATCAACATGTTCAATATAGGTGGCCTCAGGCCTTATGCTAGATATGTGCTTTCAGAATGTCTTAAACTTAGGTAGAACATTTTAATGAAAACAGTTCCACCACTAGGGGTAGGTGACTTCTGTTCAATAAATGAAATGCTCATAAAAAAGTTCTGTATTTCTGCATGTAAAATTTTTTGGTACATAAAAAAATTAGTTAACTGAGTTTTTTCTACACCCACTCTTAAATTTGTTGTAAAATTTTGTGTTTTGAAAAGCTTTGTAGTTCAAAACTTATTGAAGAAGATAAAACTGATAGCTTTTACATCCAAATACCCAGCATATAAGCTGAAATTCCAAATTTTTAACTTAGACTTACAAATACTTTTTGACTTCAAGTATTCATTTATATATAGTTATTCTGTTGCTATAACTTTTATAAGAACTAAAAAGGAATTTAGTATTGGCATATGCCAGGAAACAGGCGGCATACGTTATATTCTTCCAAAGTGTTGCGTCACAAACATCCTTATCTGGCCTTTACTTTCATAACTGTTGGTCATAGTCAAATACTTCCTCTTAAAATTATGTAAATGTTTATGTTTTAAAATTTTCGATATTAAAAGCAATCAGTTTTTATAAAATTTACATACTTTAACTTTTCATATGCTCAGCTGATTTCTGTATTAATATTTAGGAAAGTTTTATACTCATTATAAAAAATAAAACACAATAAGTTTGACTATCATACGTTAAAAATTGACTGAGGTATTTAATTTAAAAATTCTGGGTTTTGATGTAATTTTCAGCTTGTTTTAAATACTTGCTTTGTAAATTAGAGTAATGCCATTGAGTGATATACTTTAGTAATAACTAGTGTAACATCTGTAAGTTAAAATTTTGTTACAAATAGTACTTCAAAGCAATTTTCACACAAGTAATTTTCAATATAATTTATAAGCTTTCAAATCCTCAGACTGCATTATTAATACAGTCAAAAGTCTTTAATCTGGACTCGTGGAGACTTTGGCCATTGTGGTTATCGGTTTTTCTGGATTATAGATCATCAGTTTAAATTTGGTAAGATAGCATGCAGAAATTATAAAATTAAAAATATGAAACTGTAATTTATGAAATAAAGAGCAATTATGATCTAAAGGGTATCAAAATGTACATATTTATTTGTTTACTTTCAATGTGCGCGAGCGTAAAGCATACATTATGTATAGTCGAAATTAAAAAATTACAACCAGAAAACTATTTGATGTGTATTCGTGATATTTATAATGACGAGGAATTTGGTTTAAATCATATCAAAGACGGAGTACATCGAGATAACATTTAGTAAGGAATTATAAGCCGAATAAAATGAAAACATCTGCCCTGAATATAAGGATAGTGCTGACGGATGAACTTCCAGTTCATTGCGCGCAGCGACGTCCCCCGCCCCCGCAGAGCAGCAGCGTGAAATTGATAAACAGATTTCGGAATGGTTAGAGAAACAAAGGACATATGCCTTTATCCATTTTTGCAGCAATTCCACTTTTTGTTTGATGGACATCGAAACATGCTTTCACTTTGTAGATCCTGTGGCAGCTCCAGAATCGGAAATTCTTTTTGACATAATCGAAAATTCAAGCTTACTTTTATAGCATTGTTCTAATTAACAGTCTGCAAAAAATAATAAGCCAGATCAAGATAGAAGATTAAGGAACAACACAATTTCCAACATTAACTGAAATAGATAATTTTAGGTTAGCTTATAGCGTCCGTTATACATTAAACGTGCATGCGTAAAGGTATAAACACATGTGCATGCGTAAAGCGTTTACATATGCGCAGAAAGTTTGTAGCTTTTGAGGTCCGGATTATAGATCATTCCGGATTATGGATGTCTGGATTAAAGACTTTTGACTGTATTCTCATGAAATTTTTAATCTGCAAGTAATACGAGTTGGCTATGTGCTAACACAAAAATGTTTTATTATGACATTTAAAACATTTTTGAATTCCAGTGTTTTCTAGAGCATGAACTTTGTGACATTCAGTGGTTAAGATCCCCCCCCCCCAAAAAAATGTTGGTCAATATTTTTAATGATAGTCTGCATAGAAATAGTCGTCACTTAATCTAAGAATATTGGAAAGCCCCACCAAACTGTTATTTGTTTTTATCCATGTAAAAGTGGTAGTATTTCATTCTTCAATTTGTGTATGGCCCCTGAGCATGATTTCCAAATTTAAATGAAATAATTTGCCATATCGGAATAATTTTTTTAAAAAAATTTTACAATAAGTTATTTAAATATACATATAATAAAACCTTGCACATTTTATAAAATGACAGACTTTTGTAATGTTTGCAAAATTAATTTTTAAAATTTTAAAATGATGAAACATGTACATTTGTATCATTTAAAACGTTTTTGTAATTTTACATCTGTGACCAAATATTGCAAAAATAAAGGCCAGTTAAAGTGACTTTTGACTTTTTGTGGACATCCTTTGACTTTTGACTTTGTGTGGACATGCTTTACATAGCCAGGTTGTTTCAATAAAGCATATATAAGCTTCTGCGTGGGGTAGATTGCTCAATGGTGATTAGCTGTCCTATAGCTATGTAGGGTCAAAATCACCATTAACACATGCTAGTATGTGGAGACTATGAGAAATGAAAGATCATTTAAATGAATATATTTTATTAATAATATAAGCAAAATGCACGTATTATTTATTAATAATATATGCATTTTGCTTACATTTTGCTTAAAATGCACATTTTGCTTATTAAGCTCAAAAGTTTTTCCTAGTAGTATCTAGAAGCTGCAATTTGTGGCCTCCATCATTGGTGCCTAGAACCATGAAAATTCTAGGAAAATGTGGGCATAGTGTGATCAAACACAACAGCTATGCAGATGCACAGATCTTCAGCTCTGTCTACAGGGGTATCATACTGCAGAACTTTAATTTACCGTAATGGATGTTATCAAGGTAATGATAGGTTAGGAGATCATACTGGCCACAACCACATCTAGTCCACTGCTGTCCAGATGTCATGTTTAAGTGTGCTGACAGTCATCATTTGCTGAAATGGCCGGGGTCTTGCATAGACTCGAACTACTAGTCTTGGTAGTTTTAGAGTAGCCAGTTATAGATCTACAAATTCCAATCATTTAAACTTTTGAATGAAGTACTCTGTAGGTTGTTTGGCTTACTTCATTTCAGTTGTGATGACAACTGTAGCTCATTCATCTTGCAAGTTGTGATTTAACTGGAAGTTTTTATAAGTTTTTGAAGAATGCCCCCTCAAGATAAAAAGGCTAATTGTTGAGCCAGAAATACAGACTCCATATTGTTCAAGGTTTCCATACATTAAGGCAACTATTGCAAATTATTCATGTGGTACTGTATGAATAAGGACTTTTCATTTGCACACGGCAGGAAAGATGACTGTAAGTGGTATGCATTTTCTGCAAGGCTGAAGAAATTATTGTAATGTAACCAAAAAGAATTTCTTCATAAAAAACCGTGAATTGGATATGATATAAGTAGAATACTATTTTGTTCAATCCTTTTTTAATCGATTAAAGCATTTTAGTTTCACTTTCTGGCCATTCAAAGCAACTTTTTAATGTTACTTAAGTTTGCCATAGGGGGCACACCTGAAGTGCTGTAATTGTGAAAATGTTTGCAGAAGAAAACTTGCCAACATTTGCAGGATCATCATTTATTTTCTCTAAGTACCATAAACAAATGAACAAATATTTGTGTCACTGAAAGTAATATTAACAAACTGAAGCCTGCAGTTGTAACATAGAATATGAAGGGAGTAAAAATTTCTTCATTGATATCTGAGAAGGTAATTTTAATTCTATAAATGAATATTTCATAAGCAAAGATTTAGAATGAAAAAATTGGCCATCAGGTTCCTCAGCCAAGGTTGATGGAAAAATTTAAGGGCATAGCAACATTTCATCAAAATGCATGACCAACTGTAATCATACAAAATTGTCAAGCCACCTCTTGCATAAATGCGAGAAAAGCTACTGAAAAATTATTGGCTTAGTAATAGAAATGTAAACAGATGTGTTTTCATTTAGAGATAAGTTCAAGAAGGAATCTAATCTTCAAACTTGAACAGCAAATTTGAGGACAAAGTTTCAAAATATTGAAATACTGCAGTCCAAGATGGCTTTCTCTTATAGAGATTATAACAAGAATTTTGGATCAGTAAGATGCTCTGATGACCTTTTTTGTTACTCAATCAGATAATAATGAGATCTATGTAAAGAAATTGCAAAAGATTAAAGTTACAGTAACATACCAGCAAATTATATATATTATTTTTGAAGCCTGTTTTTGTTTATAACAGTAA